GTGTGGTTTTTGCCGAGCCATTTTCTCCATTTTTCTATCCTGGGAGTTGGTAGCTTAAGTGGGTTTTTGTTTAATTTAAGTGGAAATTAGCTTGAATTGATTGCCGTGTGATTTTTGGAGAAAATCCCGTGAATTAGTTAGTGTTTTGGCCAATTTGTGGAAGTAGAGTTACTGTTCACGTCGTGTTTACTGTTCATGGTACTGTTCACACACCGAGGGCCAACGATTAACGGGGATTTAAAGGTTTAGTTTGTGATATAAGAACAAATTTAGAGATATTTGATTATGTAGAGATTGATAGAAATAGCATTGTGATTAGGGGTGATCCTAATGATGATTTCAGTTTGAATTTGTGATAGTACGGTAATTAATTCGTGGATATTTTGATTAGGTTCTTGATCGTTCTGTCAGTTTAGTATGTGAATTGAGTGCTCGGTTTTTGCGGAGTGAGGTAAGTAAATTTATGGTAATGCCCGTACAGTTTTTAAAAGCATGTTTTGACTTGTTTTGAAGTGGTGGCGGGACTAAACCCGTTTTATACAAAAGTAAGAATGACTGATTTGAAGTGAAAGTTTTATGCTTTTCATTAAATTGAGCATGCCTACTTGGAATTTAATTGATTGTTCTGATGATCTGAAAGTGATTGGTGAATTGTGTTTTTCTGTTAACTTCAGCCTGTTTTGTCTCCGATGTGGTCATGTTTTGTAACCCTGCTAGTGGGGGTTAAACGCTAGCACATGTCGGCATATGTCGATATGTTATTAGTGACCCTGCTAGTGGGGGTTAAACGCTAGCACATGTCAGCACATGTCGATATGTTAGTGATAGAACCGGTTCGTTCAAGTGACCCTGCTAGTGGGGATTATACACTAGTAAATCGTGTGTCTGTCAGTGGGAGGTTTATAACACTGGCCGTGACCTATAGAGTAGACGTTTATTTCGATTCCGTACTCGTACCTGTTTTCGTGATTATACTGGTTGGCATGCTATAAGATTAATTAAGGGCTATCCATATTTTACTTACTGAGTTATCTCACCTCGTTTTTTTCGTCCACCATTTCAGGTAGTGTGCCCCGAGACTCGGAAATCAAGGGGAGTGACGTGATAAAAGGCTAGCCACTTGAGATTTGACATAGATTTTAGATACATGTATACCACGCTCTTGTAAGTTAGATTTTAATTGGAAATTTTATGGTATCAAAACTGATTTTGTTCAGTAAGTTCCGAGCCTTATGCATTTGTGGGACTCTCTCACGAGTGCACGGCGTTTGCCACGTCCTCAGATTTGGGTTCTGGGGCGTGACAACTATGGTCGAGCAAATCCCAAGATTTTGTACCTGACATCAAACCAAACTTCATAGACGATCTCACCATCAGCTTTAAAATGTTTTTGGTGGATCCTCCTGTTCCTTTCCCTCCATGTGTGGTACACTGTTGCATTCCATGCTAACTTAACAAGAGTATTTTGTAGGACTTTCTACTAATCTTTTTCTCTATCCAACACAATAGACCTTGCCATGAATTAGTTAGGGGAATGCCTGCCATAACACTAAGTGTTTTCCAGATCTTCTATGTGCAGCTGCATTTAAAGAACAAGTGCTCACTTTGTCCTTGGCTCACTATTGCATAGAACACAAGTATCAACAATGGTGGGAGTCCACTTTCTTTGCCAAGCTTTAGTGCTTAGCTTGTTGAGAATAGCTAGCCAACTAATGAAGCTATGTTTAGGTATTGCTTCAGAGAACCATAGCAATCTATGCCACACCTTCCTAGTCTTCTTTCTCCTTAGCCAATTCCAAGTTTGTCCAGCCTTGAAATTTCCAAAATTGGAAGGTCTCCATATTACCATATCTTTCTCAGCTTCTTTGGGGAACATGTCAAAGAGGTGCATCTAGATTTGAACTAATTGAGGAGATCTCATAGGAGGCCACCACCAGAAATTTCCATTAATCACACTTGCCAGCTTTGCTTGAAATTAATGGGATTCCGGCATCCCTAATAATGTTACTACCATATGCGTCAATTAATGGCCCAGAAGGGTGCCAATAGTCATGCCAAATGTAAATATTTGTGCCATCACCTGAGATGTGTTGGATAAGTCCCTTCGCTATATGCCTTCAGCTTGAGGATGCATCAACTGGTGTGTTGAGTGTCCAAAAGCTTCTACCCTTGATAATATATGAATAAAAATGTTTTAACAAATAAGGTTCGTCCCTGGGATCCTTTCCAAATATCTCCTCTTTTCTTCCGATCTTTGCATGCTTCCCTCAGTTCTTAATTCGTTCCACCGCCTTGCTGTCTCAAGCTTCCTTCCCATATCTATTGACTATCTCCATTAAATCCCCACATTTCTCCAGCATTTTCTCCTTTCCCCTTTCCAATTCTCTAAAATTCTCACATACCTATCAGTTATCACTATCTATCCCATGTCCCCATCTTGGATTTCATTACTCTTTCTCGTAGGGTTGAACCACAACCCAAGTCCTAAAACTGATCTGAGTATCGATTTGGCCAACGAAACTCAAACTAATCTGGCGTTGTAACCCGGATGCATCCCACTGGGGATGGAAATTAAGTACCCATTTTCTCAAATCCTCTTAATCGAAGTTGAAGCCTCTTTGGTAGGGCTTGTAAGGTCCTACGGTGCTCAGAGCCTGAGTTCGGCTTAAGCTTTATTGAGTCTACCA